GTGGCTGACCTGCTGCTGAGCACCACGGTGCTGCCCTTCTCGGCCACCATGGAGGTTCTGGGCTTCTGGGCCTTCGGCCGGGCCTTCTGCGACGTGTGGGCAGCCGTAGACGTTCTGTGTTGCACGGCCTCCATCCTCAGCCTCTGCACCATCTCGGTGGACCGGTACGTGGGCGTGCGCCACTCTCTCAAGTACCCCTCCATCATGACCGAGCGCAAGGCAGCTGCCATCCTGGCGCTGCTCTGGGTCGTAGCCCTCGTGGTGTCCGTGGGGCCGCTGCTGGGCTGGAAGGAGCCGGTGCCCCCCGATGAGCGCTTCTGCAGCATCACCGAGGAGGCAGGCTACGCCGTCTTCTCCTCCGTGTGCTCCTTCTACCTGCCCATGGCCGTCATTGTGGTCATGTACTGCCGCGTGTACGTGGTAGCGCGCAGCACCACGCGCAGCCTCGAAGCGGGCGTCAAGCGGGAGCGGTGCAAGGCCTCCGAGGTGGTGCTGCGCATCCACTGTCGCGGTGCTGCCTCAGGCGCAGATGGGGCGCACGGGGGGATGCGCAGCGCCAAGGGCCACACCTTCCGCAGTTCGCTGTCCGTGCGCCTTCTCAAGTTCTCCCGCGAGAAGAAGGCGGCCAAGACGCTGGCCATCGTCGTGGGCGTCTTCGTGCTTTGCTGGTTCCCTTTCTTCTTTGTCCTGCCACTCGGTGAGTGACCCCTCTCCCACAAGTCCCTCCCCTTTCTCCCTGAGCCTCTGGCTGTGCCTTCCTGGCACCTGGGCTTCAATTGCCCTCCCAGGTGAAGGGTGACTCTCCACCTGAACATGGAAGGTGAGCTTAGCAACCTCCTTGGTCTCTTAGGCAGGTGCATGCACTTTGTGGGTGACAAACAAGAGGCTCTTCGTGCTTGCAAGATTTGTTGTACAGGCTTCTAACTTCTGTCCTTCCCCCAACCCATTGCCATTACAAGCCCTGGGCTTGTTTTATGCTTTTGACCCGTCTAAATATAAAAATCCGTGGACATCTGTGGAGACATCTGCCCACAGTATGTGGTCAACCGTGTATGTGTGCATCTACATATTAACCATCACCACTACCCACCCCCGTCCCCCCAGATATACATGCCAACCCCCAGAGGTGGTACACAAAGTGGGTGGGCCTACATTCATCCATGGGCAGCAAGCCCTGGCCAACATGTACATCACCAGGCACCAGAAGCCAGCTGCTTTCTCCCAGCACTTACTCAGTTTGGAAGCTGGCCCCACTCAGAGACCCTCCCCAGCTGGTATCTGTGAATACCCTGGGCTCTCACTTTTGCAATATCCTCTTGGAGTTGGAGGAGAGGGGGCTATGTGAGGAGGAGAAGAAAAGGGAAAGGGCCAGATTACCAAATGGAAAGTTAATATTGTCATTTCTTAAATTTCCTAAGCCCTTGAGCACTTCCTGAGAATTGGCCTATTTCTTCCACAAGGGTCCCTGCAGTCCTCAGAGGCCAGCAGCTGTTCTGAGGGGCTTCCCTGCCCCCCACACCTGAGGCCCCTCCTGGAAGCCTTGGTGCTGGTCAGCACAGGGAGAAGGGGCACAGCTTTTCTGGGGATGCATTTGCCCTGAGTCACCTCTCCCATGGCTGCAACCTTAGCAAGCCCAAACTGAGGCCTCCCCTGCCTTTTCCAGGTCTGCTACCTCCACACTGCAGCTGAGTCAGGAAGGGACAATGGCCTCCCTCCTGCTCCCCTGCAGGCTCTCTCCACAGAACAGCTAGAGTAACCTTTATACATTATAAATTAGAGTGTCACTCTCTACAAAAACCCCTCAATGCTTTCCCACTGCCCTGGGAACAAAATCCAAACTCTACACCGTGGCCTATGAGAGGATGACCTTCAAAATTATTATTGTCCAAGCCAAAATGAGACACTAGGAATATTTACAATGGAACCCCAGGCGTGAACCAGGGCAGTGGGGGCAAACCCAGACATGTGATACCCCTCCTGTAAAGAGGGGCCTGATGGGCTGCCTCCCCTGCAGCCTCGTGGCTTGACTGCCCTGCCTAATGCTCACTGCATTCCCTGGCCCCTCTGACCCTCTTCCGGTTCCTTGTCCACACCTAGAGCTGAGGCCCTTGCATTTGCTCTTCCCTCTCTCTGGCCTGTCCTCCGCAGCCACTCCTGACTAACTTCCCATCCTTTAGATCTCAGTATAAATGTCCCCTCTTCAGAGAGGCTTTCCCAGATGCCTCAGTCTCAGTGCATCCTTCTCTGCATTTTCTCCCTGGCGACAGGCTCTCTTCCTTTACCAGCTCCTTAGCTGTAATCACATCTCTGTGTTGCTTGGTTTGGTGTCTGACTTCCCCCACTGGCCCAGAAGCTCTGCAGGGGTAACACTGTGCTGTCTGTGTCATCGCTGAATCCACAGCAGCCAGCACAGTACCTGGCATAGGAGGAGGAATAGAGCGCAGCAGCAGGGACGGCAGGCTCTGGCGCCAGATAGCTGGGTGTGACTCCCAGCTCCACCCTTTACTAGCTCTGTAACTTCTGGCAAATCCCGGAACTTTCCTGTGTCTCTGTTTCCTCATCTGTGAACTGGGGATGATGGTGATGGTTATAATGCCAACCTATAGGGGAGTGGTGAGATTTTCAGTAAGGTATTATGGGTGACCTTGTGGCAGGTGGTGAATGAATAAATCACCGACTTGAAAATCACTCAGCCAGAGGATGTTGTGGGGATAGGGAGAGGAATGGAGGGGATAGAGGGAAGGATGGAGGGCATAGAGGGGAGGCAAATGGGCAGGCAGGAGCAAGTCGGTATGCCCTCCTTTAGAAACCCACCCACCCATTATTTAGAGCCCCCAAGCCTGCCACCAGGCTCCTTGCCCTGCCAACCAACCCCTGCCCCAGCCTTGTTCGGCTGTGCCCCATCCCAAGTGCCCTCATCCTCTCCCTGCCCCTTCATTCACACCGGCTCCCTATAGGGAATGACCAGCCTGTGTGTAGAATGCCACCTTCCTTTATGGTCTTTTAATTTCTTTTAAAATTTCTAGTTACAGAATAATGCACAGATTATGAGAAAATAATATCACAAGTGCTCATGTACCCATAATCATCCCTATTAAACAGATGCTCACATTTTGCCATATTTGCCTCAGAGCCCTTCCGCTCTCTTTTTAAAGAAATAGAACACAGCCAGAACCAAGTTGCCTCCTCCTGTCCTTTCCTCTTTTGCTCCCTTCTTCTTACCTCTGGAGTTTATCACTCCCACACATACTCATATGTGTATACTCTAACCACAAACATCTGTATCAATAATAATATAAAGTGTCATTTCATGTGTCTTTAGGATTTATGTAAATCACACCATGCCTTGTTTATCAGTCTCCACTTTGCCTTTTTCACCCAACTTGGGCCTCAGGTTTACCCATGCTGGTTCATTTTAGCAGCAGTATTCTGCTTGAGAGTTTTCACAGCATATTGATGGTCTCCTGCTGACTGTTTCTACTTTCTCAGTTACAACCAACACTGCAAAAGGCTACTGTTTTCTAAGGTCAAGATCACGTGTCCCCCTCTTCCACGAAGTCATCCCTAAATTTCCATGGCCTTTGTCCCTGGCTGGCACACATTGGTCTTTCTCAATTCCTCATTCTCTGCTGCTCCTCACACCTGGCATGGGGACCCAGGTGTGTCCTCCCATACTGTCAGCCTAGGTCCTGTGACGTTGCTGCCTCCCTGACCACCCCGGATTTAGTTAGGTGCTCCCTCATTCTCCCCAAACACTCTGCACATACTTTTATAACAGTGCACTGTAATTGTCAATATTTTTACACATACCATTAAGTGTGAGGGCAGAGGAAAGTGTACATATATAGGCAAAAAGGAGTGGAGGCATTTGCGGGTTGCCCTTTGGTTTGGGAGACCTGGAGAAGAGGGGTCACAAGATGAGGCAAGATGTCATCAATGAATGAATAAATAAATAGTGGTGTGTTCATTGACTGGACTACTATACAGTTAGGGAAAATAGCAAACTTACTGCCCACAGCAACATGGATGAGTTTCATGGACACTATGCTGGGCAAAATAAGCCAGATCTGAAATGAAAAGCTTGCATACTATATGATTTTGTGTATATGAAGTTCAAAAACAGGCAAAATGAAATCAGTGATGATAAAAATCAGGATGGTGTTTACATGTGTGAGAGTGTGTGTGGGAGGGGGATGGTATTAACTGGAAGACAGTGCAAAGAAATCATCTGAACGTTCTATATCTTGATCGGGGCAGTGACTACTTTGGTGTATGTGTACGTAAAGTCATCAATCTGTACTCTTAAGATGTATGCACTTTATAAACTTGACTGTTAGTATCTTAAGCCTTAATGAAGAGAGGGAAAGCAGGAGAAGGCTGTGAGCCATGCTGAGGAATTGGTGTCCAGACTGGAAAGCACACTTTGGCAGCCGGCTGTGGAGGATAGATTCAGCGTGTGTGTCTGAGAGTGTTGGCCAAGTGCTGAAGGACCCATCTCCACAGGCTCCCTGAGGTCGTGCAGGGGTCTCATGTAGGGGTCTACAGATGCGGGGGAGAAGCAGGGGTGCTTCAGGTCCTCAGTAATGGCAATTCTGTCCCCTGGCCCAAAAGCTGAAGGAGGGGCTGGCATTACGTTTCCTGTCTGTGCCTTTGTGACACCTGGCACATAGTAGGTGCTCAGTCAACGTGCGTAGGAGGAGGGAGTGGCAGAACCCATGGCTGCTTCACATCCTGCCATGCCAAGGGTCTGGGTGGCAAAGTACAGTCCTCTTTTTTTTTATTTTATTGTGGTAAGAACACATGAGATCTACTCTACTAACACATTTTTAAGTGTACAATACAATATTGTCAACTATAGGCACAATGTTGTATAGGCACCATGTTGAATAAGATCTCTAGAACTTACTCCTTTTCTTTAAGTGAAACTTTATGCCTGTTGATTAGCAATTCCCCCACTTTCCCCTCCCTCCATTCCCTCTTAGATTCTGTGAATTCAACTACAAGGACACCTCGTTTTTTGGCACTTTGCTTTATTGGTGCTTCACAGATATTGCTGTGTGTTGTTGTTTTTTTTAACAAATTGAAGGCAAGACCCTCCACCAGCAAAAAGATCATGACTTGCTTTATTGCAATACTCGCTTTATTGCGATGATCTGGAACAAAACCCGCAACATTTCTAAGGTATGCCTGTATTTTAGATAACTCATATAGGTGGGATTATGCAGTCCTTCTGTGACTGGCTCATTTTATTTAGCATAACAGCCCTCTATGTAAAACCAACCATTTTTATTAGTGATGTATTGGGGGTGACCCACCATGTATGTAACCTAAAAATTTTTTTAAACATAACAACTAACACTTATTGAGTGGTTACTATGATTAGGCAATGAGCTAGGGTTAGGATTTCTTTTATCATGGGTAGTTTCAAACACATACATAAGTAGACAGAGCAGTATGATGACCCCTGGTACCCATGACCCAACTTCAACAAGTATCAACTCAAGGCCAATCTTGGTTCATCCCATCCCCCACCCGCTTTTCCACCATGGCAGATTAATTTGAAGAAAAACCAGACAGCATATCAGTTCACCTGTAAATTCTTTAATATATATTTCTGGAAGATGAGAACTTTTAAAAAAATAACCGCAACCCATTATAGTGCATAAAAATAATTGTTTAATATCGTCAAATGTCTAC